AGTCATGAGATATCTAATACTTAAGTATATATGTGCGCGCTGATTCTATGACCTCCAAAATCTCACCATCCAGCTCCATAGGCCATCCAGACTCGAGGGGGGCCGAGCTGTGGCCTCGGAATCAATCTTCTCCAGTTGCTGATAATAATCACCGTTTTGATATATTTCGTGACCCTCCATGCCGTTCATCACACGCAAAGATGAGCTTTGCGGTCTGGAAGAGGTTGGCGTTTTGCACTCGGATTTATCATCCCCGGTATGTGCTCTTATAAGTCGACCTGCCGTCTGCACGCAACTGCCGTAGGCAAACCGGATCAGGGAATCGCCGGTGAGACTGCCAATGATAAAGACATCTTCGGCGACTTCGAGATCCTCCAACGCCTTCGCTCTCAATGTCTTGCCGGATATGATGGGGCTTGGTTCCGTTCCATCTGGACACCCAAGAATCTCGGAAAGAAGGGGCTTATCCAGGTAGCCAAGGCTTCCACGACGACCAGTAGCATATACCAGACCACGCACGGCTCGTTCTACTGTGCTTCTGTCGGGCAGTTGAAAAGTCACGACGGCAGATTCCGATTGCATCTCCACTGCAATCACTTCAGCGTTTGGAAGGCCCTCGTAAACCGTATCCCAGGCCCGACTTTCGACGAACGGAGATGATGTTGTCCGCTTTGGTTTGCCAGGACGTTTGGCTGTAGCTGGCTCTGCGGCAAGAGCAGCTCGCTTCATCAGTCGATATACGCCCGCATATTCCGGATATGCGCGCTGGTGACAGCTGCGGAGTGGAGAGGGATGTCCTTCTGGATCCCATTTGAATATATGAAGGATCTTCTGGTCCGCTGGAGCAGATATTATGATATCCGCGGCTGAGAAGCCGGATCCTATAACAAGGAGCGGTATCTCAGGAGTCGGCTGAAGAAATCGTAGGGGTTGTAGCATCGGAAGGGGCTGCAGCACTTCCGAGAATATTCCACTCGCCAAGACCAGATGCTTACAATGAATATTGTGAGAGGTAATGAAGAAACCATTTGCAGTTCTTGTGATACCGCTCAGAGTCTCGTTGTTCTGAAAAGAGTCATCAATTCCAACCGCCTCAGGATAGGCGCTGAAATAGTCCATAATCTCTCTCCTGGTGGGCCGCGTGAATGCGGGAAGATCCTTGCCATTGACCTTGTGGTAGTGCTCAGCGAAGGAATATCCTGGCAAGCACAGCATTGACGCATAGCTCAAAGTTTGAATATCCCAGCTAGCGAATCCCAGGTTGTCATTCCATTGACCACCGGCCTTCGGCGCATTGCCAAATACCAAGTGTGGGACAGCATTTTCAGGCACGTATCGCCATTCAACTCTTGTTTCACCCTCTCCCACATCCACATCGATGCTCGGCCGAACGAGTGTGTCAAGTAGAACATTTACTGGGAGAGCCTGCGTCGAGTACGACAATCGAGAGGCATGGAAATGCTCGGTCAAAGCCGTTACATCCGCCTCCAGTAAGTCCAGATTGTCCTTAAGCTTCGCATGGAGCAGAGGGTCCGGATGCGGACGATTTATAGAGTAGTACGGGAGATAGCCATGGAGAATAAATGACAGGATCATAGCCGATGGCCCGTTCCCTATCGATCGCAGTCTCAAAGTCAATCAAAAGGCCACGGTGATTGGCGAGAAAAGATTTCACTCCCTTGAAGAATGGCGACATACCGATGATTATGGTGTCAATTTCCATTGCAGGCATCTTGTGTGCCCCGAGCCGCGGCTTCAGCGCGGGGCATTCTGCATCAGACATGCGATGGTAGACAGCTTGATAACGGTCACAGTTATTGTGGCCCTGATGAACCAGTGAATCTGTTTACTACCTTCAGATGAAGGTTGATCAACTGGAAGGCCATGGAGAAGTAAACAAGGTCATAATCTGATTAGTAGGGATTACATGAGGGGAGTTTATGGAGGCTCGGATTGGGGGTTCGACCATAAACGGGGTTCGCTGACAAAACAAAAAGCAGTGACGGTACGGAGCAATCAAGATCACCGAGTGGCGTCCAGCTACGAATGAAATCAGATTGCCTTGTTCAGGCTGCCTTTCCGGGACAAGTGCTCCGTGGACCGATCCGGATCGTTTGTATGTGCAATGCACGATGTACCGGAGATATAGGCTAAAGAGTAGAATGACATGCAGCTCCTCGGCACTCTCCCAAACAGCGTGAAGTCATCGTGAGTTCGCTGGCCGAATTCGGGATCCGGTTGCGGGGTTGCGTTTCCTGATACAGTATGTAGGGCTTAGGGTGGCGTTGCAAGTGGCCCTATGCCCTAATTACCAGATTTGGACACGGCTGACGCATGATCCTTTACTAGGCGTCTTGGATCCTGGGGATCGTCGTCCCGGAGAGGGATGGACAGACGATGGAAGATTCGAAGACATTCAGGAAGTCGTGGTCGAAAGTCTCTTCGCTGCCATGATTGTCTCACCAAGGGCTTGGCTACTTTTGTCTTGATTGGAAATTAGAGGCTTGCGTTTCCGAGTGCTGGACTGGCCTCATAGGTCGTCCAACCGCAACTATGTATCATCTGGCCAAGTCTCTATACCTCTACGCTACCAGCAAAGAGGGTAAGGATATCACACCTCGGTCTCATTGCATCTGCGTCGCTGACAGATGGGCTCAGAATACTCCGTCCTGCTACTGGGATTAGACAACGCGGGGAAAACTACGCTCCTATCGCAAATCAAGGCCCTCTATCTGCCCCGTCCGGATGGCGCCACGGCTCCCAATCCAGGCAAAACCGTGCCTACCGTCGGCCAGAATGTCGCCACGATTCCTTTACCGGACATGTACCTGAAGATCTGGGATGTGGGTGGTCAAATCTCGATGCGAAATTTGTGGCAGAGCTACTATACGAGTTGCCACGCTATCATCTTCGTCGTTGATAGTACGGACGTAGGACAAGATCCAGACATCACCCGTCTACCCTCGAATCGGAAACCTGGCTCGTTGTCGGGCCCATCCGCGCCCGGAAGTGACGCCGTTACCGAAGAAATGGCAGGGATCAACGCGCCGGGAAGCCAGTTTGGACGGCTGGACGAGTGTCGCCAGGTACTGGAATCGGTGTTACAACACTCCGATGTGGCTGGAGTCCCTATTCTAGTGCTGGCCAACAAGCAAGATCGGGAAGATTGTGTTGAAGTTGTCCGCATCAAGGAGGGTCTTGTGCGCAAGGTCTTTGAGGGTGAATCCGGTAGCGGAGTGCGCGATACTCGCGTGTTGCCTGTCAGTGCCTTGATGGGTACTGGAGTTCGGGAAGCAGTCGAATGGATCCAGAGTCGAGTCAAGTGGAATAAGGAGGGACGACCTCCCGTCATGAAATGAGGCTCAGTGTGGTCACAATCCTGGTGTGACTGCAGGCCGCTGCTGGATGCCAGTTTGGTCACGGCTAGCTCCTCTATCTCTGGGCGGAGGAATGTTGATACCCTTCTTGTTGGTGATTGATTATCTGACTTCGGCGCTGGAGGGCTTTGTTTATACAAGATACCTAGATAGTTCTGTGCATATATTACTTGCATCAACCATCCGATTTCATGATGGAGTGTGTCCTTTTGACTGGACCCTATGCTATCATAGTAATAAGATAAGAAAAAATGAAGCTATCGCGAAATTCACTGACTCGCTTGCCCGTTTTTCCGAATCACCACGATACCAAGAACCTCAAATCTCAATAGCGGAGAATCTATGATGTATAATTGTACATCAAAGATACAATCAGCCGGTTATATGCGCAATCGCGCGAGTGTCGAGGCTGGAACTTCTCCACATCATGATTCCATTTTTGACGTCAACACTGGCGGATGCAATCTGAAGCTAGATACCCCAGTTGCTTTTGGATCGCCAAATGATTACCTATCCACCCAGCGAGAAAGTCGAGAGCAGCGTATGATATGACTATGAAGTCACTCCATCAGCTTGACGTCATGTTCTGGTTCTACCCTTTGGGCCCCTGCACCTGAGTAGATTAGATGACCTGTTGTTTCTCTACACAGAGCCTTGTAAAGACTTTCCCAGCAGTTGTTCGATTATCAACGTATTCATCTATCAGTCACTACACAGAACCAAAGCACACGACCTTCTACAAACTAATCTGCAACAAACTTCAACATGAGCCACACCGCCAACCCCGACTCCTTCGACAATGGTAGCAACCAGGACTTCATCCATCCCAAAGTCCAGCGTTCTGCTCCCATGAGAAAAGATGGCGTAAGTGTCCCTTGACTTCGAAACGAGCTATGCTAACCCATGAACAGCACCAATTAGGCCAGAAAGTCAGCCCTGCAGACTTCAAGCCCGAGTTCCGTGCCGAGACTCATCCTCCCGGCACTGCTCCCGCCAGCAGTTCATACACCCCAAACACCACCGGAGAGTCCGGCGGCCAGGCCTTGAACCCCTTGGTCGAGCGCAGCCATGGAAAGGAGGCCGTCAAGACCACTGCCGAGTCGACCTTGAGGGGAGCCACCTCCAAGGACGTCCACAAGGGTCTGGGCCACCCCGGCTCTGGCCAGACCAAGACCGAAATCAAGCACGAAGGCCAGCACCACCGGAAGCACGAGGGCGCCGGCCTCGAGGGAGTCGGCAGCTACCGTCAGGACAAGTTTGAGCGCACACTAGCTGACCAGCGCGGTCTTGAGCGCGAAGAGGCCCAGCCCGGCCAGCACGGCGACAAGGGCGTTTCGGCTGCCGAAGATATCCCTCCGCAGTCGGCAGAGACGGCGGCCCACGAATGGAAGTATGAGCCTGGTACCAAGAGGGGTAAAGCTGCCAGGCACTAGGCGAGTTCAAAAGCGGGATGAGATATTTTTTAATGTTCTATTTTCATGTCTTGTATAAATCATCCAATTAGCGTGGGTATCACAGGCGGCATTTGCTATGCACATAAATGGAACGGTCCTCAAAACGGAATAAAAAAAAGGTTGAACATCAGAATGAATATGATCCAGTCACGGGTAGACATTCGCTCACTCATGGAGCAACACGCTCCTGGCTAGTTCGAGCTCTGTTGGTGAGGTGTTGACTCTTCTCGCCATTTGGACCGAGCTTTTTGGGCCAACTGCGGGCTATGTCGATGTTCGATCGCGGAAACCACATCTCGAGAAACACATAAAGTAGGAAATCTATTACTGCACAAAGGCAAAACAGTTTGCCGGCCCAGACACCACACCCGTAGTATCGTTTTAGCCGATCGATCAAAGCGAAACTCCGCACCCTGTCAGCGTTGGCTTCCCAGCCTTGACCGGGATAATACCCGTAAAATTCCTCCGGGCTCATATCACCAGTGATGCCTTTGTAGACACGCTCTGTTCGTTGAGCCACATCCGTCCAGGAATACATCATCTTGACCTGATCATGGAATCGATCTGTTCGCACTTTGTTCGAGCGCAAAGCGGCAATCGCCTTTTCAGTGGCCAGGACTAGATCATCCTCTTCAGGCTTTGCAAAGGTCGTCATGTGCTGAGGTAACACTTCTGGGATGCCACCAACACGAGTACAGACCACATAAAGACCACAGCTAGCAGCTTCGACGATGACCGTACCAAATGCCTCCGTCAGACTCGGATGTAGATAGATGTGGCCTCGGACCATGACATCCCGAACTTCTTCATGACGAATCGATCCCAGCAATTCAACCTTGTCCTGTAGCACGTTACGTTCCAACATCTGCTCCAAATCGATGGCTTGCGGTCCCGAGCCCGCGACGATGAACCGTACGTTCGGATGGGAAGCCAGAATCCTTGGTATAACCGCAATCAGGAGATCCGTCCCTTTGTTGTAGAAGAGACGCGAGATGACTACAATAGTGATGGTATCGTTCGGCCCAATTGGTGCAGGCGGTGGTCGCGGCTCGATTTCTCCTGACGTTCGATCGCCTTTGCGAATGTCGTGAGAAAGGGGGCGGAAGTTTTCTGCGACTACGGCATTGGGGATGACCGAGACCATCAAAGGGTCTAACGATGCTCGAAGCACTGTATTTTCCTTGCTGTACCCCCAGGTAAGAATCAGGACATAAACCTAGCCTTCCCATGCACGTACCATGTATGACTGACGCAAATGACATGGTCAACGTCACTCAATGTGAATTTGAGCATCTTGTTCGCCAAAATCGAGCCGGCATCCGCAAACCCAAATAGTGAGTGATCGGTAAAGACCGTGCGTAGACCCATCGTCCTCGCATGTAGAATGGCCTCATGGCATAAGCTACTCATACTACCGTGGCCATGAACGATTTGTATCTGTTCACGGATCACGATATTCCGGAAAAGGGGGAAGAAGGAGAAAACTGTCGGCATCGTCGACTCGCGATAAATGACGAAGAAGGGGATGTGGTACACTTTGAGACCATTGGTAAGATATCGAACTCCGGTTCGCCCTTTGTATGCATGAGTGATGATAATGACTTTATGACCGCGGTCGATCAGTTTCTGGAATAACAATGAGCGGGTATATCATGTGAAAGGAGCGAGTGTTCATACACTTGACAGTTGGTATATGTGACTTTCAACTCCCCCTGATAGAATAAGTCAATTCTGCAGAGATACAATGCGCAACGAGGAGACAAACCTGGTTGAGGAAAGAAGAAGTCACAAACCATACTGCGCAAATCATTGTCAGCTCCATCTCTCGCGATGAGTACGGGATAAACTAACGCAATGTTGTAGGGCATATTGGCTGCTCCGCCTTGTCTAGCTGGTATCCAGACAATTCTGAGAGGTAGCGGCTGTCACTCTACCCATGGCGAGCAGTTTCGCCCTTCAATAAAACCAGCACACATCCGGTTATACCAGCGTACAGCGAACAATATGCGAGCAGACGAATGTGATCTCCAAATGAAGCTCCAGACCTGGTTGATCCCTGAGGCCCACTCCCTGGCGGCATATGGGGCGGTGTAAGGATTCTGCCGGGTGAGCAACAAAAATATCCCCGCGGAAAGAAATCATGTTCGAGAAGAATCTCACAAACGATTACAGTCTCAGCAACCACGGCAACCGGCAATCCTACCAGCTCTTGTTGGATCATGGCTGGCGACAAATCTGCGCATTATGTGTCAGTTGAAAAAGAAACAGCCACTCCACTGACCGCGGAGAAGTCTCACAAACGGAAGAGAGAATTGGATGGCTCCCCAATTGCGACATCGACACCAACACCTACCAAGAAAGCGAAAAAGACTCAGAACCTTTCGCCAACCGCTGTCCGTTCGAAAGAAAAGCCACGCAAAGAAAAGCGGAACAAATACTCGGAAGAGGACGGTGTTCGCGAAGAAAAGACCAGGAAAGATAGTGCTGTCTCGCCGATCAGCAGCAAAGCGAATGCTAGGAGCTCAGATGATAAGGTCTCCAAGTCTAAGAAGAAATCAAAGGGCGAAAAAAGACGGGCTTCTGAATCTAATGAGGGGTCTGCACATATGAAGGGACCCCAAAACGACTCGGACGACAGCTCGGAAAGGAAAGAGGACAAGACCGGCAAATCGTTGAAATCCACCAAAAATTCTAAAGATGAGAGCGGCACAAAGTCTGAGAAGAACAAGTTTTCTGGCATTCTGTCCAAGTTCGAAAGATCCGCAAAGTTGAAGAAGGCAGCAAAGGCGAAGAATGACAGTACGGATAACGGGACACCCACAGGACCGCTTACCGCAGAACCCGTCGTTGCACAGGGCTTAGAGCCTCTTCCACAACCTGAACAAATTACCGAAGAAACTGAGAAACCAAGCTATTCATCCCTTCCTGCTTGGTTGGCCAATCCCGTCAGAGAGTCCGCTAGCAAGCGCGCCAGGTTTTCAGACTTAGGGATCGACTCAAATCTTCTTCGCGTGCTTGAAGATCATGGATACAAGGAAGCTTTTGCGGTACAATCTACGGTTATTCCACTGCTTCTTCAAGGCCCCGGGAGACACCTGGGTGATCTTTGCATATCAGCCGCTACAGGTTCGGGAAAGACACTGTCGTATGTACTGCCTTTGGTCACTGCGCTGAAACCGACACCGGCGCCCAGGATGAGAGGGCTTATTGTAGTGCCAACAAGAGAATTGGTGAAACAAGCCAGAGAAGCCTGTGAGCTATGCGCTACTGGCTCTGGACTTCGTATCAGTTCTGCTGTGGGAAATGTGGCGATCAAGGACGAGCAGCGCACATTGATGCGTGTTGACCAATGCTATGGACCTGAGCTTTCCAAGCAAAGGCAGACTGTCGATCTCACTGGAGAAGATTGGACGAATTTTAATCTCATGAACTATATTGCAGAAGCAGGAGACTTGAGCGAGTCCTTGCCAGGCTACGTTCAGAAGGCGGAGCCAAACATTGATATCTTGATCTGTACTCCAGGTCGTCTGGTTGACCATCTACGTTACACCAAGGGTTTCACTTTGGAACATCTTGAATGGTTGGTTATTGATGAAGCAGATCGACTTCTGAACGAGAGCTTTCAAGAATGGGTTGATGTTGTGATGAACTCCCTGGATGCCCGCAAGGATCCCAAGACATTCGGCTCCAGCGGTAAGTTTATGGCTGAGCTGGGGCTCCCAATTCAAAGCAGAGAACCCCGGAAGGTCGTTCTCAGCGCCACGATGACGAGAGATATCTCCAAGCTGAACTCTCTTCGACTGGCAAATCCGAAGCTGGTGATTATTGGTTCGGCAGAGCCTACTGCAACCGAAGAAGCAGAGCATGATGGTGTCCATACAACATCTGATGAACAATTCACTCTACCCTCCACGTTGAAAGAGTACTCCGTATCTGTTGGCGTTGGGTCGCAAAAACCACTTTACCTCCTTCGGCTGTTACAGTCTCATATCAACCCGGACACCCAAAATCAACGCTCCGTCGAACGTTTCTCGAGGTCTTCAGTCACAGAAGAGTCCAGTTCGGACGATTCGAGCTCTGATGAGTCGGACTCCGACGACTCGGACTCCAGTGATACCAGCTCAGACGACACGAGCTCTGACGTGTCCAGCTCAGATGAATCGGATTCAGACTCAGAAGACGATAGCTTATCGAGCGACGAATCAGATTCGTCGTCGGACGTATCCTTGTCATCTGAAAGCGACGAAAAGGAAAAGAATATTTCTCATCGTGGGCCTGCAAGAACGACAGTTCTCATTTTCACCAAGTCATCTGAATCCGCATCACGTCTTTCTCGGCTGATTTCACTACTGGACCCGTCGCTGGCGAACCGCGTAGGGACGATTATTAAGTCTAATAAGTCATCAGCCTCTCGGAAAACGCTCACTGCCTACCGACGAGGCAAGATCTCCGTTATCGTCGCTACAGATCGTGCTTCTCGTGGTCTAGATCTGGAGTCGTTGACTCACGTCGTCAATTACGACGTTCCTCCCAGTGTTACGACATACGTGCATCGTGTTGGTCGTACAGCTAGAGCAGGCAAGGAGGGCTCGGCCTGGACGCTTGTTGCACACCGTGAAGGCCGTTGGTTTGTCAATGAGATTTCCAAGGGCTCGGATGGCAAGATTACGCGATCCACCAAGGTTGAGAGGGTGAATGTGAAGCTGGACACCACGGCCGAGATCAAATCGAGATACGCAGCTGCACTGGATGCCCTTGAGAAGGAGGTAAAAAGGGGCGGGAGTAAACCTGCACAGTCCAGAGTTTAGGATTTAGAGCATATAGCAAGCCTGTGGCACATTTGAGAATGAAGGCACATGTAAATAGCTAATTAAGAAGAGATGCACTCCGAATTTCAATCAGGAACCCTTCAATACTTGCTCCTACCTAGGATTGATGAACTTTTGCAAGACTGACTAACTACCCCAGAATGATTAGGTACAGCAGAAGGGCTATGTCATGAGCTGCCTATCCGTTAGACAGCAAAAAAGACCCGACTCCGTTCTTGTTCGCCTTGCTTCCCCCGCAAAGATGGTTAAAAGAAATATGGGGGTCCAAGATACTCCGTATCCGCTTCTCTTGGCCGTTTAGTAAATCGTCCAGAAGAGGACCATACGCGTAGACATTCTAAAGACTTGCTGCAACTACATTTGTTGCAGTATGCCCTCTCTGCGTTGCTCTCCCCAAGCTCATACCCACCTCAACATCCACCATGATCTGCTGATGGCTCAACTTCTCCAGGTCCTCATCGAATCGAATCCGGTCTCTCTCAAAAGCCACTAGGATACTTGAGCCGCCAAATTGGAAGAGTCCAATTTCATCGCCTTTCTTCACATGATGTCCCGCAGTCATCATTTCGTCATTGAAACTACATACCATGTCAGTCATATACCTTTTGACTTTGACTTTCCTTGGCAGACAAGAATACTCACTCTACGGTCCCGACATCAGTAGCACCGATAGCCACGAAAAGAACCAGCCCAAAATCCTCAGTCTCGATGCACACACAGCAACGCGCATTCTCCGTCAGGATGTTGACCGAACTCTGCAGCGCCACGGGATCAACCTGGAAGTAATCTCCGGGAATCTGCTTGTACCACTTCACCTTCCCCTCAACAGGGGAATGGTACCGGTGATAATCCTGGGGACTCAGACGGAAGCTTGCCACCGCACCGTTCTCCCATGCCTTTGCACGGTCCTTGTCTTTGATGAGATTTTGGATGGTGAACTCGGAACCCTTGATCCAGAGTCTGCGAGTAGCTTCCACGGTTGGGTAGACGACGACTCGCGAGTCGGCAACGACGATAGCCTTTGTGGGATCGTTCGGTGCATGGATTGGGCGTGCGCCGGGGGCGTGCTTCCGCACGAAGAAGTCCTCGAACGTCTCGTATTTCTCCGGATCGGATGGGTCGAACTTCGACATGTCGATTTGGTAAAAGTCGATGAAGGCTTTGATTTGTTTGTGGGACTGGGGTTTCCCTTCTTTGCGCCCTTGAATAAAGTCAGTGGTCGCAGAACGTAATGCCTGAAGGATGATAGCGAACCTGCAGCGAGGTTCCTCTCGTGCGTATACATTCGGAGGAGATGAGTCTGATCAATCCATTCTGTCAACGGGTTAAAGAGTAGTAGCAGCTTGAGCTTCTTCAACAGTGCTTGCTTCTCGCGCTTGTATTCGCCTGTCTTGCGGTCGACCGTCAGCCATCCAACCTCGCGATTCTGGATGAGCTTGGTGAAGGCGAAAGCCTGGTCCACCAGCTGATGGATATAGCCGAGGATGAAAGACATTGGAACGTCCTGTTTGTAGAATGAGAGTTGGATATTCTCATCTGAGCTGGTTTGACGAAGCGCATAACTGTTGGATATCTACCTCTCTACCAAATGTCTTGCTGTGTTTGGTGTGATGTCATCGCGATGTCAGATTGTCTTCAGCCAGTTGTTGATGCATTATTCCTACGGCGGTCCACGTGATATCACTGCACCTTGACAGCTCTAAAATGAGGCATCCATGGGTGCAATGGTGAAATTGCCCCTTGACCTGGATCATGATGGTCTCAGTAATGTCAAACAATCCACGATGTACAGCTCCAAATGACATCAGGTAAGTCACCGGCAAAGCGTGGGGAATAGCGTACAATACCAGTCGCCATCATTCTGTTTATGCCTTTCTTTCAGCCGCTGTGTCTGGCCTCGTGGCTTTAATATTGCGCTGGCGAGATCAGTCGTGAAGCTGAAGTTGAGGTGACATTTAAGACTGACTTACCTAGGAATGCTTATGGGAGGAAGGATGGAAGCAAGGAAGGTCATCATCGGCACGATGAGGCTTAGAATTGGAGAGAATACGGTGTTCAGAGGGGAGGGAGAGCCAAATATGGCTACGCTCCAGCATCCAAACTAGGCACTGTCTCTTAGAGCTGTCAGGTCTCTCGTTACCTCAGGGCAGCGAGAATGAAGCAAGTTCAGACTCGATCAACCCCGCGCAGGAGGAAGGGTTAGCGGGTACCTGGTGTCCCTGCCCGTCCACTAGAATGGAATAACGCGGCGGCATTATCGCCTATATTCAAAACTACGTGGCACCTCTCCTCGACCAAGATATCACGCCGCCTTCCAGCAAGTCACCTACTCATAGAAGGATATACGCCAGGATGTAGCACTCTTGGACCTCTATAGCGAGTCATGCAAGACACGTCGAGAGAAGGCCGCCTAGAGCTGTCACTTGCACATCCACTGGACAAATCTCGCCTGGTACAAAATCCTTGGTAAGGGTTGGCTGACCTGGAGTCACAAAAAGAAATATAAGATGGTGTCAGCCTTTCCCCGCACGCTCCATCCACGGGCTTGACTGGCAGCGCTCTATTTCAATTTATCAACTATAAAATTCTTTTAAAGATGGACATAGCTCATCCCAATCATCATCCTTGATCTGGCAGGGTCTCGTCAGGGCAACGACCGAGTTCAATCTCTGTCCGAACCGCGTGTGGGCAGTAGCCCGCAGCCTCCCACAGCGAGAAAAGAACATCCCTCTACTCATCCCCGCATCAGACGCTGCTATTAAACACCGTATCCCCCATCACCAGGGCCACGAGCAGTGCACATTCGACTTTTGCGAATTTTCCCGGCGCGATTTCACAGGCGTGCAGCAGCGCCATGAGACACCAGACTGCAAATGCGTGCCTCTGCGCGGCCTCTTCCCCCCGGATGAAATTGAGAAAGCCGCAAAGGCGGGCAAGGTCACGGCGTGGGCGTTGGATGGGAAGTCGATTATCAGGCCTCCTCGGCCGTTCATGGCGATATCACATGTCTGGGCTGATGGGACTGGTGCCGGCGCTTGGGGCCCCGGGCAGGTGAACCGGTGCCTCCATAGCTTCTTTCGACGCATTGCAGAGCAGTTCCAGTGTGAAGGGATTTGGTGGGATACGGTCTGCATTCCGCGATCAAAGGCCGCTCGCACCATTGCGATAAATCGGATGCAGCAGAATTATGAGGATGCTCGCGTCACTCTCGTCCATGATTGTTTCCTGCGGGAGTGGGAATGGGTCGATGATGATGACGATAGCACGAATGCGAGACTTGCTTGCTTTGCGATTATCATGTCTCCCTGGTTTAGCCGGGGGTGGACGGCTCTGGAACTGGCCAGGTCTCGTCGAGTGAAAGTGATATTCAAAGGCGCTTATGGCCCAGCCATAAAAGACCTTGACGACGATATTCTAGCAAAGGTGCCCGATGATATCGTAGCACGGCCGGTAGCGAATCTCCGGGCCACCAGAATCAGTGCCGTTGACGACCTCTTGACCGTGCTCGGCTCTCGATATACGTCGTGGCCTCGAGATATAGCGACCATAGCCGGGCTTTTAGTCGGCATTGACATACCCCACGATACAACACAGCAAGACATCTATCAGCGCATCCTGAAGAGAGTTGGGAAGGTCTCCCCCGAACATCTCTTCCACAATTCCGCGACCATGTCTAAAGGTGGATTTACTTGGTGTCCTACCAGTTTGGTTGACCTCGCACCGTCTTCAGGACTGACCTCTCTGAGAGTTACCGAGGACGGGGCAGTCGTGGGCCAGTGGAAGGTACTTGGTCGCCCGAACTGGATTTCCAGGGGGAGATATAACTGGAAGGGCACACATCCTCTGGCAGAAGTCCGCCTGCAAGCTGCGCTCCAGCAACCTGAGAAGCATTGCCTTCTAGCTGAGAACTATAATAGTTATGTCAGTGCCAGTTTCCGCCCTCAGTAAAGGAATAGACATAGAAGCTATTAGATTATATAGTTACTAGCTAGATATGCTACTAGGAGTATATAATATATTTTATATTAGTCTATTATATCTTATCGTAAGTATACAGCTAAGAAAGTACTCTAAATATAAAACATATATTAGCAGAGGCCATTACAAGAAGTATTGCTTCTCTTGATTGCCAGTAGAGCTGTTATGCAGTTTTAGTCAAAGTGCCAATCCCATTATTAGTTAAACCTAATGCCACATATTCTCCATCTGGTGAAAAGCAAACTATTTCACCTAGTAATTATAGCCTGTGAGTCTGTGACTATCTTGACAAGTTTATTACTGCTAATATCCCAAATCTTAACTATTTTATCCCCCCATATCATACTAACCCAGAAGCAGTAAAGCGTCGGCGGGTGAGGATTTGGCTGAGATTCCACCAGAAGCTTAGTTGCATCGTCCCCCTGCCGTGATGAGCCATTACTCTACAGCAATGATGGGCCTTTCCTGTTGCTCTTTGGAAGCTACATCTTTCTACAGCCTTTCGTTATTGGCTAAATAGACTACCTGCGAAGAGAGTTTTGTCAGTTTGAGAATTTCATTGGCCGTCGTAGCTCGATAGCTGTACCTTAGTATCGGCAGCTGGCTCGATGGGTCGACTGAAACGAGACGGTGATGATAATCATGTCATTACGCTTGCATTAATAATGCTCGATGTTCATCTCTGGCTTTTCAGCCTGAAAGCCCGAGCTGGAAGTCGCTGCACCCGGGAATTCCCACGTTGCCTGCAGTATGTAAGGCCTCGACTCTGCTCTCTACCGGATATACCAGGGGAGGACGAACGAACGAATGGGAGGCAGCCGCAGGACATCTGGCACGGGACTGTCCGACGTTGTGGCTTGGCTCTGGAGACTATACGGTTATACCCTTTTGGGAGTCGGTCATCCATCATACTATGAAAGCATCATTATAATCTACTATAGTGCTCAGCATTTCCATTCACTGTCTCTCTACGCTCACTTTCGTTCTTCTTTATCTTCAGTCTCAGCTCAGTCTCAGTCTCATTCTCAGCCACTTTTCTGTCTCACTTATTACTCCCTGGTCGCCACTTATACACTTCTACGATCCTCAGTAAACACATCGCCCATTGCGTCCTCTCTTTACTTCTCTAGAATTGTCATTAGCTGTTATCTATCTCGCCATATCCAACTCAACTATCCTGCAGTAACAGGCCTCAACATGTCGGTTCCACGTGTCAACCCGAATCCATCATTTGGATTCCCAACGGCCCCGGGTTCGCCTCGGAAGAGGCGATCTCTTTTACGGGAATCGGAAGGTAGTGATGGCACGATGGGGATTGAACATACCTCATGAGCTGTGACCCTTATCGTTCAACAAATTTGCCCAACTTCTGGCCGTATCCATTGATGTTGACCGATTCCAGAGAGCTTCAGGAGACTCTTCGACCGATTAAAGACGATATAAGCGCCATCCTAAAAGCGCACGGATTCGCTGAACGCGTCCCATTCCTGCCGTATGTCGCGCAAAAGCCTCGTTATCCGGGAGGCGACACACCGATCAATCTGCTCCGCGTGATACTACTGGCTGCCGATGATCACCCAAGACGCTTTGGCCCAGCGAAGGACGACCTCGCACGCCTTCTCAATGAAAGGGGCATTACAGACATGTTTGTTGAGATTGTCAATATCGATCTGTGCTTTCAACCATCTCTGTTCCCGATGCCGCCTGACCCTGGCCTAGTGGTCGGCTTTGAAGAAGGGAAGCACAGTATTATCAATCTCATTCAATCAACACTTGGGAACAACTGGAGACTGCTCTGCCCGTTCAACATCGGGCGGGTGGAGGCAGAGGCCGGCCCGGCGATTGTAATCCTCGTGGATCCCCTCACGCGTGCCAATTGGTCTGTTTTGGACACGGAGATCAAAGCATTACTCGCAAGACACTGTCAGTTCCAAACGCTCGAGGTAGAGTTTCTCCCCGGAGACCTCGCGTTCCTTAATGGAACGTCCTTTGCCGGCAGGGCGAATGTGCCAGTCATGGGGTCCTCCGTTGGTATCCATGGTGATAGTAATTCGGGGACACTTGGTGGGTACGTGACCCTCACGAAGGGCGGCGAGGTCTTGAAAGGCTTCCTAACCACCTACCATGTCGTCAGACCCTTGGACCCCAAGTCAGGCCCCCCCCCCCCCCCCCAACAAGTCTCTCGCTGACTCGGATCGTTTTGGAAGTTCGTGGATGCGCCAAACAGAAATAAATCATGTCCAGATGGAGAGTTTCTCTCGTCAGGACACACAAGCCACCTTATCTGATCTCGACGCTAAAATCAGTGCCACGAACGAACAGATCGAGAGGCTATCTGAAAGAATCCGCGAGCGAGAAGAAATGGGCGGCGGATCTGCGACAAAGCTTCGAGACTGGGTAAATGACTTCCAGTCAATAGTCTCCGGCTACCGTCGCGAACGCCAGAATGTCACTAGCATGCCCCACCTTATGGGTAGGGTGACGGCCACCTCCGGGAAGGCTATACTGGGCAAGAGAATTAGTGACTGGGCGTTTGTCCAGATGAACGATGCCGCCATCGAGAAGTTCTTCCGACCCAACCGCATGTTCCCTGTTCGGGACAACCAGCAACCAGGCCGATACAAAGCTGGGGAAAGCCTTGCGCCGTCTGCGGGCGAGACTCTAACAGACTCCGGCCCGCTCGTGGAAGGCGATGTGTACTTCAAGATGGGGCGCACGACGGGAGTCACGACAGGCGTTTGCCATGGCACGCGGGCAATCTGTCACTGGAAAGACAGCATAAGATACGACCATATTGGTAACGAGAATGACCTGTCAGTAACTACGACTGAGGAATATATCATTGTGAGTAAGAGACTAAACAGCGCTGAACACACGCAAGCCGCATTTGTTGAGGATGGTGATTCTGGATCACTTGTTATCGATACAGACGGAAATGTCTGTGGACTTGTCTATGCTGGCTTCAGTGGCAAATGCGGAGCCCCCGGTAATGAACATTTTTATGTTAACGCTGGCCTCGTGACACCCATCACTGAAGTGGCACAGTGGGTGAAGTTTCGGACCGTGCGCAAGGACAAGGATAACAAGATCATCAGCGCACCAGCCGAGCTCGGACTCCCTCAACCCTCTGAATCACAGTCCAGTCGTTCTTGAGGTCTGCCCAGCTGGCTGTAACATAGCTCAGCCTTGTCCCTCAGGTTTTGACGGAATAAAGTTCGGCGATCATGGTTCCCACTTCTACCGTTGCCTTCGACATGCGATTTCTCAATCTCAACTGCGTATTCGATATCTTTGATGTATTCCTGCGGATCCTCTGGGCCGTCACGGCGCCTGTAAAAGGGTTTGATGTTTGACTTGGTCATTAGTTCATCGTGTTGATCAGATTGATCCGGATCCGAATCTGTTCAGCAATGTATGGAACGATCGGTATCACTATTATATCCTGACTGGTACATTAGAACTTGTCAGGTTACTGGCTTGGTGGCGTACTGATTGCTCCGCTGCTGACATGCTCCTGGGTCTAGGTACTTGAGTAGGTTCTATGAGTTGTGCCTTCCTCGGAAACAATGGCGGTCGTTCCTTCACAAGCAGCCGGACCACGACAACATGCTCCTCCATCGACTGAGTCCTGCGTTGCGTCCGAGATTCTATCCAAACAAACCACAACGGTTGGAATCGCCCACACTACAGACGCCGCGAGCATAATACAGTTACAAGGGACCCAGTCAGCTCCTAAGTCGTGCTCTCGAGCAGCACGATCCTCTGACTAGCCGCAGGACGGAAAAGCAAATCCTCTTGTTCCAGCCGGTCTCCCCAAAAGAGTTCACCTCATTGTTAGACCATATCAGAAACCACCGAAGCATCCTTAGGCTCGATTACAACAACGTGAGCGAGTTGCTCATCATTAAAGTGATGCCTGGTTGGGACCACGAATATGCAACGGGCCTACTCCAGCAACAGGTCAACACACAACAAGCTGTACTACGTAGTGTTTGCAGAATACTATGTACTCTGTGGCTCGCCATCTAGGGCTGCAAAGCACTGACTCAGTGGAGATTGGGCGAATGGAGTGTGGAGAAACTCAGCCTGCATCTGCCTGTTGTTTAGCTAAATTGAAGTGCCAGAAGAGGCACAGAAGGAATCAGCTTATATCACTGACTTGAAGGACTCCGGTCTGTGGTTTATAATGTTTCCTGATGGCCTGTAGGTTTGGGACCTCCGCATCCCTTCTATGATACACTTCATGAGTAAACCCCTAATGGTGTATATGGCCGCAGAACTCACCCTGCGCTCCATCACAGAGCAGCATAGGATTGGTGAGCACATGCTTGTTGTCCACAAGTACGCAAAGCTGGATATCTGTGAAATAATAACAGGGGCAGAAGCTATATTCGGCAACACTGGTCTAGACTGCTTTCTTGAAGGGGGTCCATTCACGCGTTCAAATCATAGGGGCAGACAGACTGTCCAGAGCACCGTGGGACAGGGACAGGAAGCTGCCCATTCTTTGCCCGCCGTTCCGCAGGAATCACCTTTCAACCCTGTTTTTCAGGAAGCTACTCGCACTTTGCCTGCTGTTCGGCACGAATTGCCTTTTGATCCTGTTCGGCCAGAAGCTGCTCGCCCATTTCCTGCTGCCTAATAGGAATCATGTTTTGACCGTCCTTCTCCTCTGCCTGCTGTTTGGCAAGGACCACCCTTTGATTAAGCTACTTCCACTACCACAGACCCTTTTCTCTGTCCCACAACATCCTTTGCAGATATACTTAAAAGGAAACAATCCACAGACGATGGCAAAGGGAAGTCAGATGATTGGGTTAATATGGCTTTATTAGTGATAAGGTATCTAATGGTGAACAAGCTGAAAAAGAATATAAAAACCTGCTCAATAAGCTTGCAGACAATATGATGACCCTCAACTCCATCATTAAGAGGTTCTTATGCGGGCTACGAGCAAATGCCTTTCCTCAACTTCACGGTGAAGATCGCCAACACCGGCAAGGTCACTTCCGACTACACTGCTATGCTCTTCGCCAACACCACCGCCGGCCCTGCTCCGTACCCGAACAAGTGACTCGTCGGTTTCGACCGGCTGTCGAGCCTGAAACCGCACAGTTCAGAGACCATAACCATCCCGTGACCATCGACAGCATGGCTCGTACGGATGAGGCGGGCAATCGGGTCCTCTACCCGGGAAAGTACGAGCTGGCGCTGAACAATGAGCGGTCGATTGTCCTTCGGTTCGCCGCGCTGACGGGCGGAGAGGCTGTGATTTCCAAGTGGCCTGTAGAGGAGCAGCAGATTTCGCCTGCATGATGGTCCAGAATATGTGTTGGTACTATTTTTAGATGAGGAGCTGAATGAACTAGCTGTGTAAATCAGAGTTTCGCTCTAGATTAAGGCATTGTATCAAGCTTCGTGGCTTTTGTGGCTTTGCTTGGCTGATACTCCATGATGGCAATTTTAGCCTAATTACAGTTTATATGCTCGGCCTGATACCAAACTGTTCTCTCGACATATCATCTAAGCATTTCATGCATATATCTACTCTCGATAACAATAGACATGGTCGAAATATGCGCTGCGCCGGCAATAGGACAATTACCCCCTTACCATCTGAACCAATTCATCATACTCCCCTGTATTCTTCAACATACTCCAGAAAACGCCTTGCCTCTTAATCAGATTCGCGGGGGAATCATTCCTTTCCAGGTTAGCTTCCGTGAACGCATGGATAAACAAGGAAAAAAAAGGGAACGACATACTCAATGATCCCCCCTTCAGCCATAACCAGCACCCTGTCATAATCCATGATCGTCCGCAGCCGATGCGCAATCGCGATAATCGTCGAGTCAGGGAACATACTCCGTAGCAGTCGCTGCATGTGCATGTCCGTCTCGTGGTCCACGGACGCGGTGGCCTCATCCAGCAGCACGACCTTGGACCGGCGGCAGACCGCGCGCGCGATACTGAGGACCTGTCGCTGGCCCTGGCTGAAGTTTTCTCCGTTGACGGCGACGGGGCTGTCGAGGGTGAGGGCGCGGGTTGGTTTGTTGGTGCCTGTTTCTCCGGCGGTGGTGCCGCCGTGCACTGTAATGGAGGTGCAGGCGGATAGAGCGGAGTGCAGCTCTGTCTCACTGGCTTCACCGAATGGGTCGAGGTTCGATTGCACGTCGCCGGAGAAGAGGACAGGTTCTTGGGGGATGAGGGTGACGCTTGTGCGGAGGCGATGCAGGCGGATGTGGCTGATATCGAGGCCGTCGATTGTGATCCGGCCTGAGGTAAGGTTGACGAAGCGGAGGAGGGAGAGACCGAGGGTGCTCTTGCCGCTGCCTGTTCGGCCTACGATGCCGATGCGTTCGCCGGGGTTAGCTACGAAGGAGACGTTTCGTAGGACGTCTGATCCGTCGGGCTGGTAGCGGGCCGAGACGCTGTGAAATTCCACTTCCCCGAGTGTTGGCCAGCTGACAGGTACAGTGTCGGCTTCGGCGCGCTCCTTGTCACTCAGTTTCTCTTCAGGCTCAATCTCCGCGTATTCGCTTATTCGCTGGAACGAGTTGAGTTCGACCTCGAGTTCGTTCATCGTGCGGACCAACGTCAGGATTGTCTGACTGAGGCCAATGGCGTTGGTCAATGAGAATCCAACGAGGCCCGCGGACCCGGACCAGAAATATGCCACGCATCCCGCCGATGCTGCGACGGACGCTGCGCATAAATCTGATCGCACTGAAACCCAACGGTTGCAGTTGTACTGGGATTCCGCGGAACGAGCATGAATTGCAAGCTTCTCCGCCAACAGCTTTTGAAAAACCCCGGTCATGCCTTCCCGGGCTCGGATGACAGTAAGGCCAGCCAAGGAATCGGTGAAATGGGAGAATATGGGAGAGTAGTTGATCGAACATAATCTCTTGATGGAAATCTGGGCCCGAGTGTACATCTCCCCGAGGAAAAAGCCTATCGTGCAAATCACGGCGGCCGGAAGTGCAAAAATCGGCATGATCGAAGCGATACTCGCTATTCTCAGCAAGAAGCGTAGCCCATTTTCAATGGACATGCGCAGCCAATCGATCAAAACTGTATCCATTGACCTGGTGTCATTTCCAAAGCGGTTCACAGCACGTCCGATGGGGTTCTGGTCAAACCAAGAGATCGGGGCAGAAAGTACTGCTTCCACCAGTTTCATGTGCATCTTCTTGGCGGCCGTCCAGCTCCCATATTGATATAGAAGATTATTGGTGAGTTGAAGTAGGAGAAACGAAATTATCGCTGCAGCATACACGGCTAAGTAGAACCGTGAGTTAGGGTGTTCGTATTTCTCATACGCGCTTGTCCAAATAGACAGCCAGTAGGTGATTGAGAAGTATGCAAATTGCACCGTGACAGTTGCTAGCAGCATGGCTATCGCATAGGAGATTCCGCCAAACAACAGCATGTAACGCAAGACTGCAGAAACATTAGCGTCCATGACTGCGTTACTCAACTGGTGTAAAACTCACATAATGTACGTGGTACTCGACATGTAGCCGACATTTCTTTGACAATGCGATCTGCCTGTACAGATCGGTGTGCGCCAACATTGGGCAAGACATTGACGGCGGCTTCTGATTCAGTAGAAGACCCTTCCGCCATTGTTGAAGAACCGCTTATTGCTGCGTCTTGGTCTGCCCCTTCGGCAAGGTCTGGTACACTCTGTGTGTGCGCCTTCGAGGACGCAGCAGCAGTGTTAATTACGGAAGCCTTGCCATGGTTGAGCTGAACAATCTGATCAGCGTCCTTCAGGGCAGCTGGCAAATGCGTGACAAGTACAACGGTCCTGTCTGCTAACAGACCGCTGCGAAAACACTTGTCGTAAACCAAGCTGGTTGTATGTGTATCTAGTGCGGAAAATATGTCATCCAAGAGCAATGTAGATGATCTCGAATACAGTGCCCTGGCGAGAGACACACGTTGCTTCTGACCACCTGACAGCGACGTGCCTCTCTCACCCACTAGAGTGAGATCACCAGCGGGAAGCTGTTGAAGATCCTGGATAAGACCGCTGGCTTCAATGACGGTATTGTAACGGGCTTCGTCGAACGCGCTGTAAAAGATAATGTTCTGTCGAATTGTGTCATTCTGCAGCCATGGCGATTGTGGTACATAGGCCACATCCTGCGGGCAGGTGGCTGTTCCAGACTCCAGCACGGTCTCACCTAACAACGACAGCAGTAGAGAACTTTTCCCACTCCCAGTTGGGCCTGCCACGACATTGAGGGCCCTGTGCTTGAAAGAAATCGAGATGTCCTGTAACCGGAAATCCGCGATTGGTGTCCGCCGAAACGTTGCGTGCTTGAGCTCCAATGGTCCGTCCGGATGACGTCTGATCTCGGCAGCCGTGTCAAAAAAGTGATCCACTCGACGAAGCGACTCCGCACCCTGGGCCGAATATCTGCTGATATTTGAGAGCCAGACGAACTGAGAACGCAGTGTCTCCATGATTGACAAAGATGTGAAGGCAACCGGAGCCCGCAAAGAACGGTCCGTAAATAAAACTACGACAGAGAACATGACAAGCAAGCTCATCATAGGTAATAGATCACCTGCCATAGAAATACCAGCAGCAAAGACACTTCGCCTCCAGAGCCGTCGTTGCTCCACGCTTCTGATCTCATTGGTCGAAGCCACAGCAGCTGGCTCCCATCCGAAGAACTTAAGGGTTCGGATAGAATTCAAATACTCTGAAATCCTGGCAAGACGGACATCAGTTGCCCTCATCACGGATTGCTGGATGCGTGAGACCCTGCGTGATGCCAGAGCCGGAAGCGGAGTCAAACAGCACAGCGTCAGGACACCGAATAAGGATGGCCACCCGAGCATTCGGTAAAGGAAGACCATGGCAATGGTAGTGGATATCGGCACTGCAGTAGCTACAAAAAAGATGTCCCGGGAGTTGTATATAGCATCAACATCGTATGACATAAGACTTGTCAGATTAGCTTGACTAGATTTCGCTGCGCGCTTCCGAGTATGTGCCTTGTGTGTCGCCGACTCCTGAGGGCGTGGTCTGCCATGTGGATGTATAGAATCATCGTAGATATGCGATCGCATAGCGGTCTGATAAATCTCCTGGACTAGCGAGATATTGACGCGGACAAGGAGCCTTGTGGCTGTAAAGATGTACTGTTGATAGCAAAAAGACCGCATCATAGGGCCAATGAATAGCAAACAAATCCAGAGGGCAGGATGCACGACTGCGCCAGTCGGGTCTTCCAAGTATGCCAGCAGTTGTAGCATGGAGAATGGGGCGAAGAAATCTGCCATGGAAGTAGTCGCGGCCCAGCAAATCATACTCTTAATCTCTGTCTTCAACAGTCTGCACAAAGTTCGAAACGTTTTCCCGCCTTTTCGGCGCTGCCTCTTGATCTTCTCCAGCCACTTCAGTGGTTGGTCATATGAGGGAAGCGGCGGCAAGTCATCCATGGTCAGATCTCTCTGGCAACCACGAAAGATCACATAAGTGATCCACTCATAGGAGCAATAGTACGAGAACAAAGAACATGTTTCTTCCGGCGAGACATCCGTCTTCACCTGTGCATCATGGATTTCCGCATTCGAGATCAAGGGACGGGGCCGAGGACTCGCAAGCACAATCACCAGCATAGCAGCCACGCAGGCTAGTGAGGCACTTGCAAGAGGAGTTGGACGGTAGGTCGAGCCAACAATCGCCATTGGGACAAGATCCTTCACAATTGCTAGAGACAAAGCCACTAAGGTCATCATGTTCAAGTGGCGATAGAAATGAATGCAGTGAATAACACCCTGGAAACAAAGCCTCGCGATGGCCAATAATACAATGTAGCTAAAGAGTGCTGACTGTTTCCAGTCTCCTCTGCGATATGCTTCACCCCAACTCAGACCACAAGCCGCCATAGCAGCCGCCAGGTGCGCAAGAGCAAAGGGTACGGGAACAGTTGTCTCTGAAGCAGCAGAGGTAGCATCCATGCGGCCACGAGGCTTCTTCTTAAAACCCCAAACAGCATAATGAAGACATGTTGATAGGATGAGTACGAGGCAAGAAGCAGAGACCGCCCCGAGGTGCAGATTTCCAGTGGACAAGAAGGCGGACAGTTTCTGTGTCCGATATTGCCAGAGAGCTCTGGCTTCTTGCATCAGTTTCAGACAATTCCTAGGAGGACACAAAAATTAGACAAACCTTTGCACTTGACCGCTGCCCTCAAAAGCAGAGATATCCCCGTCCACAAACTGCGAAGTCATAGGAGCTATGACATATTGCGAAACCCCAGGCAAAAGCTCCATTGCGGGCGACTTCGACACAG